AATTCGATTATATCTAACCCTAAAGTTTTCTGGAAATTTGTAAACAATCTGCGAGCGAACTCTAGAATTCCTGGAGAAGTTTTTCATGGCACTAATTCGGCTAATAGTAGTATTGACTCAGCAAATTGTTTTAAAAATTATTTTTTTTCTGTTTATACTACTTCCTCATCTGAGGTTTCCACCGCAACCTTGGATTATTATAATAATAATTTTATTAACGTTTCTGCTATTTCTAGGGAATCTATTTTTTTGAAACTAAAATCACTTGATATTAAAAAAGGGGCTGGGCCAGATGGGATACCCCCCTCTCTTTTGAGATCCTGCTGCTCTTCCTTCGTCGAACCACTGTATATACTATTTAATTTGTCTCTTTCATGTGGTTTGTTCCCATCAGTATGGAAACGAGGGATAGTGATTCCTATACATAAAGATGGTAATAAAAGTAATGTCACTAACTATCGTCCAATAATTCTGCTAAGTACTATCTCGAAAATCTTTGAGAGTCTTATTTATGACGAGCTTTATTTTCAAATTAATCACTTGATTATCGACGAGCAGCACGGTTTCACAAGAGGTAGATCAATCTTAACTAACCTTACTATTTTTTCTAATTTTGCTTTGAATAATCTTCAATCGGGTTGTGCGGTGAATACTATTTATGCAGACTTCGCTAAGGCTTTTGATAAGGTGGACCACGGTATTCTTCTGGCGAAGCTTAGGGCCCTGGGCTTTTCTGATGGACTAATATTGTGGATAAAAAGTTATCTCACTGAACGTACTCTATCGGTGCGAATTAATTATGACTTTTCCGACATTTTTATAGCTACCTCAGGAGTTCCCCAAGGTTCAAATTTAGGTCCATTATTTTTCATAATTTTTATCAATGACATTAAAACGGTTTTTAAGCATTCATTTTTTCTTTTATTTGCAGACGATTTGAAAATTTATAAATCTATCTCATGCATTCAGGATCGACTGGATCTGCAATCTGATCTTGATTGTCTTTACAAATGGTCTGTAAAAAATAAATTGTTGTTTAATATTAATAAATGTTACGTCATGTCCTATTCTAGATCCAGAAATGATCCTGACTGCCTTTATCTAATTGGCAATGAAATTATTTCTAGAGTAACAGTTATACGTGACCTTGGGATAATGCTCAATAGATTTTTTAATTATGATGATCATATTAATTACACCATCAGTAAGGCCAACAGGGTCTTGAGCTTTGTCATGAGAACAGCCTCAAATTTTAGAAACGAGTTAGCAATAAAAATATTGTTCTTTACGTTAGTCAGACCTGTCATCGAGTTTGCGTCTACTTTGTGGAGGCCTTATCAGGACTATTGGGTGGATGATATTGAGAGAATTCAGAACAAATTTATTCGTTTCCTCGCCAAACAAACTGGAGTGCCTTACAACTTCTATGATCATGACTATACTGACCTTAGAAAAAGATTTAATATTCCAACTATATCTCAGAGATTTCTTTTTGCAGATCTCCTGTTTTTATTTAAAGTCATTAATGGTTTACTTAATTGTTCAGATCTCTTAAGTTTGTTTTGTTTTTTTGCAGCTAAGCATTCTCCCAGAACTGAAGTTCCATTATTTAATGAACAACTTATTAGAACTAATTACTTAGAAAATTCAGTGGTCAATAGGTTGAGTCGTGAGGCAAATCAGTTTTATGACAGAGTAAATTTTTATGGCGTTTCGCTTAATGCGTTTGTTAGAGAACTACGCAAGCAGATTTTCGACAATAATAATAACAATGCGGTCAACTAGTAACGTAAGATTTTCATTGTTCAGTACATTGTACGAAAGGGCAATATAAGCCCGTTTATATACTAAATAAATATACTAAATAAATTTTGTTGGTGGGTTTTCACTAAAATTGGTAACTTTTTTCTAAAATTTTGTGAAGAATTTTCAATAGAATTTTGTGAAATGTTTATAAATATCTGTAAATATTCCCTAAAATTTTTTGATAAATTTTTACTAAATTTTAGTGAAATTTTATAAATATTGGTATTTTTCTACAAATTTTGTTAGTGAATTTTCAATAAAATTTTGGTGAAATTTCACAAATGTCGGTGATTATTTCTTAATATTTTTTCGGTAAATTTTCAATAAAATTATGTGAAACTTTCGCAAATAATTGTGAGTACTTACTACGAATAATAAAATAATAAATTATTTATTATTATTTTTTAATTATTTATTAATAATTAATTAATTATTTATTATTATTATAAATAATATAATAAATAAAAATAATAAAATATACAAATTTTCAGAATTCTTTGGTTAATTATTTTAATTAAATTTAAATTTTTTTTGTAAATTTACTTACAAATGAAACGATTTTTTTTATTAAAAAATAATATGGGACATTCCACGTCAACACGGACAGAGCTCTAAACAAAAATTGCTTTGATGGATTTAAACGTTCTAGGGCTTAAAAGATTTCTACGTTCATGTACTTTAAGATGCCGATGGGCGTTTTTTGCAAAATTCCATTTCCGATGCCAATAGAACTGTCAAAAGTCAAAAGGTCCAAAAATCTCAAAATACCTTTATGAATTAAAAGCAAAAAACGAGGTAAATTATTCTGTAACTCATTCTTTATCAGTTTTTAGGGTTCCCGAATATAAATCTAAAGTTTTTTTTAAAAAATCCAAAATGGCGAATTCAATATGGCAGACAAAATTCAAATTTGATCAGATTCTATTAAAACTTGTTACTCGGGGGTTTTTAGGGTCGCTGATTACGAATCTGAAGTCACTTTTTAAAAATTCAAAATGGCGGATCCAATATGGCGGAAAAAATTTTCAAATTTGATCCGATTCCCTTAAAACGTGTTACTCGGGGGCTTTTGGGGTCGCAGATTATGAATATGAAGTTACTTTGTAGAAATTCAAAATGGCGGATCAAATTTTTTAATTTGATCAGATTTAATTAAAAAGTGTTACTCGGTGGTTTTTAGCGTATCTGATTATGAATTTTAAGTCTCAAACACATAGTAACTTCATATTCATAATCTGCGACCCCAAAAGCCCCCGAGTAACACGTTTTAAGGGAATCGGATCAAATTTAAAATTTTTTCCGCCATATTGGATCCGCCATTTTAAATTTTTTAAAAGTGACTTCAGATTCGTAATCAGCGACCCTAAAAACCCCCGAGTAACAAGTTTTCATCGAATCTGATCAAATTTGAATTTTGTCCGCCATATTGAATTCGCCATTTTGGATTTTTAAAAAAAACTTTAGATTTATATTCGGGAACCCTAAAAACTTATAAAGAATGAGTTACAGAATAATTTATTATTATAATTTTAAAATACGTCAGCATTACATAATACAGTCAGGTCTCGCAAAGTGTTATTTTTAATAAGTGTCGTGACTCACAAAGAGTCGTCGTTCGAGACCCGACAAGTGTCACTTTCCCCACTTTTTTTACTCTCTCCAATGCGATAATAAATCTACTTCGCCAAACCGGTTTGCAACATAAACCAATGAAATGACTACTTTTACTTAAGGGGCGCGGTTTAGGCCACTGACACTTACTGAGACAGACGGTTCCAAAAAATTCCCAGTGACGACACTTAGCGTCGCCTATCATACTACGTCGTCTATCAATCGGCCTGAGTTTGCAGCCCTAATCGTTTTTGTAGCCTTTTTCGTCCACCGCTTGTGTCCCTCCGTGGGATTAATATCCAGTAACACCCTGAAAACTTGTTAGAAGATTGATTAAGGAATTTTCAAGAATGTTTATAATATATTTAGAGTAAAAAAAAGTTGTACATTGCACAACTAGTGGCGAAAAATCATTCTTTCACCACGTGTTATTGTGCACTACGTTTTCTCCAATGCCTTGCAAAGAAAGGTTTCTTCGTGAGTTTCGTATAATTTTAATTTAACGAGTGCTTATGTTTAATATATGGTAGGTCCATGCCTAAAAAATCAAAGTTGTTCCCTACTTCTTAGATTTTGTTGATACTTCGAAATTTTGAAGTGGAATACATGTCAGTAGGAAACCCTACATCGATTTCGAAAAATTTTGGATTTACGATGTTTTTAAAAATGTTTTTGAAATTTTGAAAATGGTATATCTCAAAAGAAAATGAATGAAATTTAATGAAATTTTTAGGAAGTGCTTATTATTTACAGACAATTCAAGAAATTATTTTTAAAAAAACAAAAAATTTTTTAAACAAATGTTTTAAAAAATAATTTTTAAATAAACAATTTTTTGAAAAGTGCAATTTATTTTGCTCTCAATAACAATGATTCGATTCCCACTTATTTCACGAGTATTTTCCAAAAAAAATTGATGGAGGGTCTGAGACTTTAGGAGACATTGAATTTTTTGTCCTTGCGCGCAACCGTAAAAAGCGCATTTTTAGGCTATACTCTACATACAAACTAATGTTCAAAATCACCTATAATTCGTAAGTTTTAACCGAATTCAATTTTTCTTTTTGGAGAATGTCAGGCTATAAATTTGTAAGAATACTGTGCATTTTTTAAATTTATATTTGTTTAAACAAATTATTATTATTATTGTTAATTACTAACTTTTTACATATTGTTAGAGAGGTGTATTTTTTTCCAATTTTGCAATTTACCAGACCTTACATAAATACCAATGCAGATTTAAAACATAATTATTAATATTTGAGCAAGATTTAAACAAATTATTATTGTTTATTACTAATTATTTACAGAATAGTATACTAGAATGATGCAGTTTTTTCTAATCATGCAAATTTACCAAACTTTTTCAAATCATGATTTTCATTAAAACTAAAATTATAATTTAAACAAAAATAAGAATAATAATAATTTGTTTAAAAATTGTTTAGAGTAGAACGGAGTGAAATAGCCACATTCTTACATTTTAATTTATAAAATCTGAATTTAAAATTTTTTTCTCAAATTTCCAATTGGCATTGAAAGTTTAGTTATTAAGCTTGAATATTCTTGACGGAAATATTTTATATCCCATGAAAGGACTAAGTTATAAGAGTTTTACGAAACCTCTGCAAATGGCTTTTTTGTACCACCTGGTTAGTGATGCACGTTGAGATGAGAATATTGATCATATCGCTCATTTCACGTTGCTCGAAAGTAGTAATCGAAATTGAGAATCTCAATATTTCTTTTGTTTTGATCGTCTCATCTCATCTCATTTCTCGCCTAAGTTCTCATCACAGCAACTGTCACTCGATTAAATGACGAATCAGAGAATAAATAATGTATGCAAAAATTTAGCTGTATTTATTTATGCATTGGACCGAAAAAAAATTTCACGTGTTGTACTGATAGATTTGTGTGATTTTTTTCATTCAGTATCCTTCTCTATCAATTGGGAAAAATTGATATTAACCCTACACCAGTCGCCTAATGAGAAGTTTCCTAACCAAATTTCTACTTTTATGTATACGTATAATTATGATTGTATATTTTTAGTATCTGTTCTCCTATTTTATAGGTTAATTAAAATTGTTTTTGTGTTCTTTTATATTTTTATTTTCATATCAAAGTCATTAAATGTCGGGGATTTTCGACGCAAAGTAAGGAAACTTCTTATCATGTAACTAACCGCGCATACTTGATTTGATTTGTTATTAATTTCTTATTTTAATAACTAATAAAAAGTAGAAGGTAATTTAAAATTTTAGTAAACATTTAAAATAAAATTTGCTATTTTATAACAATTTTAGAGTAATTTCTGATGGTGAGGAATTTTTTTACCTGCAACCAATCGAGCTAACAAATTTTATGCGACTGACAGAAAGTTAAATAACAATATTTTAATTTAGATAGAAATTATTGTCAAACTTTTTCCAAAATTATTTGGAAAAAGATTATATTATAAGAATAATCCACGAAATCTTGAGTTTAATTATAAATTATAATATAACTGGATAATTAGAAATTATTTTTTTTTATTTGAAAGAGAACTTCTGTCATTTTTGATATTTTAAGCAAAATATTATTGTGTCCAGTATACTGCAACATTATTATGATTATTTAGTAAATCTTAAATATACTTTCATCATTTCTGGTCAATTGCAACATTTGTTAATTCGTAAATTTTGACACTAACATAAATATTAAACAGATGATCGAAAATTACGATCTTTTGAGAATCTCGATAGTATGAGATGAGATGAGACGAGATTTAAAACAAAACAATGGGATATTTTCTCATTCTTTCTCATTTCTCGTATATCTCGCTCAAATGCATCACTACACCTGGTGGGGGGAGAAAGCCACCTCGCGATTTTATCAAAATATGTTATTAATTTTGGTATTTTTATAGTTTTCCTTTATTTACATGACAAATAATCTTATTTTTAAAATATTTTAATAAATTTTAAAGAGCTTTTATCAAGGAGAATTGAATATTATGTTAAGTTTACCTGTTTTCGATTTACACTGCCAAGTTTTTGTACCTTTTTTAAAGTCTTCCTTAAATTCTACCACAGATGCCATATTTTGTTGCAACCGTTTTTTCGTTGTTTATTTTTAACGCACTTTATACTATTTTTTCGTCGTGTTTAATTAATTTTATTAAGTAAACACGCGAAAATTTTGTAAAATTAGAAGGTTTGTTTAAATAGAAAACAAATGAATTTTACATAATATTTAATGGCTTTTGTTCCTGGCTTTTTCACCCCCAAGACCAGTTTTTCTAAAAGCTAAAATAAATTTTTAATTCAGTTCAATTTCAAAAAATTAACATTGTATACGTTTTGAGTATAGTTTTCTCCTTATGTACAAACATTTACTTTTATTACCCGTTCACTTAAACAGGTTGTAATATGTTCAAAAAGTTCATCGAAATATTATACGCAGAGCAACTCAAAAATTAAAATTACAATAAAAATTATATTAATATAGGTACAAGATCCAAACTAGTATCAAAAGTTGCGTATAAACTGATAGTATTTATATTCTAAATAGTTGATAAATCGGTTTAAGGACGCTGCACGGTGGGAAATATTTAAAAGTACGCATAGGCGTAGCGAGCGATTTCTCCTCAACTTCCACTCTTTTCCCCTCTTTTCGTCCCTCTTGGTGAAATTTTTTGACTTTGATAATTAATTAAAAAAAATCCAGATTGAAAATGAAAAAAAGGGCGATTTAGGGAAAAATAATATTTAATAGAGAATATTCAACAAGTTTTCTTATGACGATTAGATGTTTCTATGGGCGTGAATATCAATCCGCGTTTTCCAAAACATAGCAAACTGACAGCTCAATATGGGAGGTTAGCCATGGCCGACTATATCAGGTTGCACCGTTTGCGTAGTACAGTAGAAATGAACGTAAGGAACAAAAATATTAAATGTCAATTATACTCTCATTGTTTACTATTACATTTATTATTTGTTTATTTATTTATTATTGTTATTATATCTATTATTATTTATTATTTTACTTACTTTTTTAAAATATTATTATGGAAAAGTATTAAAACAATAAAGGAAAATTTTTTATGAAAAAATTATTAAACAAATAAAATTTCTAAACAAAAAAAAGTAAATAATAAAAAATTATGAAATGTATAATTTTAAAAATTTTTAATGGTTATTTTTATTATTGATATTTTTAAGTATATGAAAAATCTAATTTAAATATTCCACAAAATTAGTTTTAAAGTAATTTTTTATAAGGAATTCAACGGTCATAAAATAAAAGCAGACAGAAAATATTTTGACCCTTTTTCAATTATCATTTTTCTTAAAAATTGGTGGATTTCGAAACACACGCGTAATTTGGTAGAAAATATGTTTTTAAATCCATGAAAAGAATTCCAAATGAAATCGATGATTTTCATAATTACCTATAGAAGTATTGTTTTGAAAAAAATCTTTGTTTTTAAACTGAAAATTCTAAAAATAACATTGTTATTCAATTTTTCTATATGGAAAATTATTTGTTTACTTATTTAGTTTCTGATCAAAATTTAATCTTAATTTTTCTGTATTTTTATTTTTCATCAATAAAAATTATGATATGAAATTATTTAGAAAAATAAATGTCAAAAAATGCCCTTTTTTAATAAAAAAAAAAGCTGCAATGTATTGAAAAAAGACGAAAATTTAATAATCTACTTCAAAAATTGTTAGAAAAAAATTGCAAACATCAACGTCGTTTTCTCAAGACAAAAATGGTTTTCATAATTGGAAATAAATTCTGAGTACCTCCGTGTTTCAGAAAAAGGACTTTTTTCATAAAAAAGATCCAATTTTATGACAAAAATTATGTTTAATAATATTTTCATAAAAAATTTACATTACTTTGTTTTATACTTTTCCATTATAATATTTCTAAAAAGTAAGAATAATAATAAATAATAATAGATAAATAAACAAATAAATATAATTATTTATATAATATTAAATAATAAAAGTAATGACTTATTATTTTTGTTGATCATCTACGTCCCTACATTACCATAGCGTAAATACTTTCAACACAAAAATGGTGCAACCTGTTATGGTCGGCAAAGGCCTACATAGAGCTGTTGACAGAAAATGAAAAAAAGGGCGATTTAGGGAAAAATAATATTTAATAGAGAATATAAAACAAATTTTCTTATGACGATTAGATGTTTCTATGGGCGTAAATATTAATCCGCGTTTTACGAAACATATCAAACTGATAGCTCTATATGAGAAGTTGGACATGGCCGACCATAACAGGTTGCTCCGTTTGCGTGGTACAGTAGGAATGAACGTGAGGAACAAAAATATTAAATGTCAATTACTCTTATTGTTTACTATTATATTTATTATTTGTTTATTTATTTATTATTGTTATTATATCTATTATTATTTATTATTATACTTACTTTTTAAAAATATTATTATGGAAAATTATTAAAACAATAAAGGGAAATTTTTTATGAAAAAATTATTAAACAAATAAAATTACTAAACAAAAAAAAAGTAAATAATAAAAAATTATGAAATGTATAATTTTTTAAATTATATTATTTATACAAATTTTTTTAAACAAAATTATTTCAAATACCAAGATTAACTTTTTTTATAGACAATTTAAAAATTAATACACTGGGAATAATATTGACACATTCAGAAAAAATAAATTTTAATGGATAATTTTTTTAATATTTATCAACTATAGTTTATTTCTAAAAAAATTATACATTTCATAATTTTTTATTATTTACTCTTTTTTGTTTAGAAATTTTATTTGTTTAATAATTTTTTCATAAAAAATTTTCCTTTTATTGTTTTAATAATTTTCCATAATAATATTTTTTTTATCCCACATGCACAAAAACGGCGCTTTCTGATAGCAGCCGACAGGGAGGAAAGTCATTCATTTCTTCGACCGTATGAAAATGGCGGCCGTGTTCTCCCAAGGGCAAGAAAATTAGCTGTTCACATGCATTTTTCTTGCCCAAGGGAGAAATCGGCCGCCATTTTCATACAAATCGAACAAGTGAATGACTTTTACTCCCTGTCGTCTGCTATCTGAAATCGCCGCTTTTGTGCATTAGGAATAAAAAATATCGTAAGTAACACGAGAATAAAGGCAGCCAATTTCTTTACGATGATTTTTGTGACACTCGTTCCGGTCTCGGGGCGCCTACGGCGCCCTCGACCTCCACTCGTGTCACAAAAATCACCGTAAAGAAATGGCTGCCTTTCTCCTCTTGTTGCTTAATATACTATAAAAAGTAAGTATAATAATAAATAATAATAGATATAATAACAATAATAAATAAATAAAAAATAATAAATATAATAGTAAACAATAACAGGGTTCCTACAGAATCTGGAAATCATGGAAATGGTATGGAATTTTTAAAAGGCTTCTGGAAATCAGGAAAATAATGGAAAAGGCCTGGAACTTTTAAAAGTTTCTAAATTTTTTCTGTTTTCTATTTTTTCTCTTGAATAGAAATTCAAATAATAACAAAGCTAAATGGCATGAAAGAGAAGAAAAAATATTGAATTTTAAGAAATTCGATTTTTCGGATTTTTGATAATTTTATATAATTTTAGATTTTTTACCAAAGAGTCGAGACTATTAAATAAGTAAAGTATTTTCCAAGAGCCCAAAAATAATGAAGCTAAATCCCATAAAAGAGAGGAAAAAATATTGAATTTTAAGATATTCGGATTTTTGATAATTTTCCATAATTTTAGATTTTTTACCAAAGAGTCAAGACTATTAAATAAGTAAAGTATTTTCCAAGAGCCAAAAATAATGAAGTTAAATCCCATAAAAGAGAGGAAAAAATGTTGAATTTTAAGAAATTTGGTTTTTTGAATTTTTTCGAATTTTTGATAATTTTAGATTTTTTACCAAAGATTCGAGACTATTTAATAAGTAAAGTGTTTTCCAAGAGCCCAAAAATAATGAAGCTAAATGCCATAAAAGAGAGGAAAAAATGTTGAATTTTAAGAAATTCGGATTTTTGAATTTTTGATAATTTTCTATAATTTTAGATTTTTTACCAAAGAGTCGAGTCTATTAAAAAAGTAAAGTATTTTCCAAAAGCAAAAAAATAATGAAGCTAAATCCCATAAAAGAGAAGAAAAAATGTTGAATTTTAAGAAATTTGGTTTTTTGATAATTTTAGATTTTTTACCAAAGAGTCAAGACTATTTAATAAGTAAAGTATTTTCCAAAAGCCCAAAAATAATGAAGCTAAATGCCATAAAAGAGAGGAAAAAATGTTGAATTTTAAGAAATTCGGATTTTTGGATTTTTGATAATTTTCCATAATTTTAGATTTTTTACCAAAGAGTCGAGACTATTAAATAAGTAAAGTATTTTCCAAGAGCACAAAAATAATGAAGCTAAATTTTTGATAATTTTCGATTTTTTACCAAAGGGTCGAGACTATTTAATAAGTAGGGTAAAGTGCGGATAGATGCCCCCCCAATTCGAAAATTACATCTAAATTCAACAAATATTAATATTTTTAATTGACTATTCGATTTTTACACACTATTACTATTTATCATTAACATATGTAAGGACCAAATACCTACAATAAATAATAAATTAATCAGAACGAAAATTCAAAAGGTCTGTATTTGGCCATATATCCCACCTGGGTGGGTAAGATGCCCCCCGCGGTAAGTTATTATCATTTATTACAACTATATTATTATAAAAAATGGAAAACGTCGATCTAATATGTTTCTCTGATTAAATTGAAACAATTAAATAATTGAAAATATTTTCTTACATGTTAAATATCCTCGATTTTTGTAATGAGGAATTTTGTCCAGCAGTTTGAAAATTTTTGGACATTTTCAGCAATCTGAAATTTTTACAATATTATAACTAATAACCCCGGGGTGCCAGCGAGCTGGTACTTTACAGTAAAATTGT